GACAAACTCTTTTGGAATCACTTGTACTTTTAACAACTACTCGACAAGGTCGTACGATACTTCGTCAAAAAAAAGTTTATCCCGTTGTTCGTCAAATGCATCTTGTTGAGCAAAATGAGAATGTCTCAATAGTAGTGGAACAAATTGTAAATATGTTAATGAGAGATGAGGGGCCTGAGGAAAATGATCATGACGTTTTGGAAACAACACGGAGTGAGCACCCTGATTCAGGCAATGATAATATTATTGAGGAGATTTAAACGTCAGAATATGATCTTGGAAAATTTAGAATAATTTTAAAAAGGATTAATCGACTTGTTCTTCGTCATTCAATACTAAAAGATATATCCTTATAAGCATTCTATCTTTAAAATCCGGATGCTCTACGATATTGGTACAATAATTCTACATAATTGACGGTTTGCAAGAAAGCATGAGAATCATAATTTTTAATAACAGATCTTAAAATATATAGAACTTTTTCTGCACACAAGCACTTTATTAAGTCAAATTGACAAAGTATAGCACTTAAAAGGACTGGCAAGCAGTATAGTAAGGTTACATCTGTAAGGTAGCAACTTACATATTTTTGTTATTAAATTATTTACGACCGCTTTTTTGATTTGTCACGAGAAGATTCGGTAAATACTACCGTACAAATATTGAGACATGATGATTTGAGAATGTCATATCTGTTATGCTTAGTGAATGTAGTGAGCCGTGAGATTTTCCTGCATAAAATCATTGAAAATGCCAGATGCAGTATACAGAAATCGCCACAGAAAGACTTGATGTGACGCAATTTTTAATAAAAAAAAATTAATTACACATCACATCTAGTATAAATAATATTTTTAAAAATTGACCTATACTATTTAACACACAAGGTCTTTTGTGGAAAACTTCTGCAGAATGAAAACAGATGACGACATTAAATAAGTAGAATAGATGCTTTTATATCACATGAATGATTTGTATCTTAGCCTTTTAGCCCAAAATTGTTACTTGCTTCTGAAAATTGCATAATGCCTTACAGCATTCATTTGACCATAATTATTCAGCCATTCTAGAATTACATAATATATTGTTTAAATTCGACAATTCTAGTTTTATTTTCCATAGCATCCGGATGCCTTCTGGTATATCCGAACGGTGTCCGGAATATAGCAATTTTTGAAAATTTATCCGATTTGACCCGATAAAAACAGATATTTAATTCAATAGTGATAATAATAAATTCTTTAATAATAAATTCAACAATGAATTATTCGCACTAAAAGATTTCTAATACAATATGTTATTTAACAATTTGTTTGAATTAGCAAGCACTTTTCGTATCGCCTATGACACAACTAGAAAACGGGAACTGTTGAGATCCGCGTAGAGTTTGGAACCGGATTTATTATACAACCGGTTTATGAGAAATAAAACCGGTTCCAAATTCTAGATCCGTGCTCTGATATCTTATTATTTTCTATTCTGTGTTGTGATGTTGATATACTTTCGGAGTATAATTTGTAGGAATACTAATTTCTGGACAACAAAATATTCCACTCCGATTTTGACAATAAAGTCCTCCACCCAACTCCGGACAAAGAGATCTACATTCCGGACAATGAGGCTTTTCATGATGCTTTAACGTTATGCAAATACAAAGTCGAAAATATTAGTCTATTGATAAAATAACAACAGTTAATTAAGATGATATGTCGTGTGTTAAATTCATTATATTATTATGAAGTTTAAAATAATGCTTGATGATTGATCTTACTAAGGCCAGACCAATTTAATTCTAACTAGGGATGGGTTCGGTCACGAACGGTCAAAATTTTCATAGCCAATTTGCTAAATACTGAGATGATTTTTTACTT